CTCTGGCCACTGCATCGCCCGTCGTGAGAGCTCTCACGCGCATGATGGCGTCCTCCGTAGAGCGCCTCTTACCGGCCTCTATCCGGCCCCGTCCCCGCAAGGTGCTCGGCGAGGCGGTTTGCAATGACTCTTTCAAAGAGCTTGCCCACCTCGTCGAGCAGCACTCGGGCCGGTATGCGGACGGAGAGTCCACAGGGCGCCCCGGCTTCCGAATGAGGACCAGCTTCCCCCGTCTTCCAACGAAGCGGGAATTGGCCTCTCTCCAAGCATGCGCTTAGGGAGCCCATCCAGTCGGGGCCCGAGAGCCTCCGAGGCCAGGACCCAGGCTTTGCCAGGCAAGCCATCGGGTCCTGGGGCATTATTCCTGGCCTACGTACCGCCACTCTCAGGTCTACCCCGGTCCCTTCCGGGATGTCGTCGTCGTCGTCCTGGTGGTCCGCTTCCGGCACCACAGGTAGCGGACCATAGGCGGGGGCGGATGTTCCCCTCGCGCAGGGAACAGAGCGCTCACCACGTCCTCCACGAGCTGGGGCCTGAAACTCTGCGTCAGCGGGGGGGCCCAGGTGCGGAGTTTATCCCACACCATTTTGTAAGGGCGCCCCCATGGATCTCCGTCGAGAGTCTCCAGCATCTCCTCACGGGCCCGATCCTGGGCCCGCAGGACAGCCTCCAGGAGGGCGGTTTTCACCGCTCTGTATCCCTCGTACAGCTCCGCCTAAATGGCTGCCGTATTCGGTGGACGAATGCGGAGCCTGCGATGCCTGGCGTACAGGTGCCGCGTGCCGTGCTCACGCGACCACAAATACACCTGACGCCGGGCGCTTCCTGGCCGGACGCGGAGCATTCATCTCGGTCACATATCTCGGACATGGCCTCCTGGAACCACCCTGTGTCATCATTGACGTCGGCAGGCCTGTCCGGGGATGACACCAAGGCCTGCACGATCGAGGCTTCCAGGAGGAGCTCCCGGTCCAGCTGCTTCAGCGCCCAACGCGGACCACTCGGGGCCTGTTGGACTGGCGCGCTCGAGGGCTGGGTGGAGACGTCAAACCGGATGTACCGGTGGTCGGAGTAGGTCTCCACCCCCTCCATGACACGCCAGTCAATGGCACGCGGCGACAGAGCGGGGCTAGCGAACGAGATGTCCACCACCGACTCGCCCTGCATCCGCACACACGTGGGGACAGAATCCCGATTTAGGACGACCAGGCCTGTCTCCAGAGCCCAGTCTTCCACCATCCTACCCCGCACATCTGTACGAACCCCAAGCCAAGTTCTTGGCATTGAAGTCCCCGAGGACAAGTACGGGGAGGGGATAACTTCCGACGACGACTGCTCTCAGCTCTGTAAGAGAGTTGTGGAGCTCGGCGAGAGATCGGTTCGGGGAGAAGTACACCACCACAACGACGAACTCCCCGAACCGTGCTGCTACGCACTCCTGACCCCTCCTGACACCTTCAAGGGTCGGGGTACCGGCGGCGGCCGAAGAGATGATGGCCACTGAGCCGTTAAGGTCCGCCACCCAGTCCTCCGTAGGCCAGACAAAATACGGCTCAGCGACCACAGCGATGTTAATCGACCACTGCGCCATGCTCTGGAGCAACAGATCCTGAGCGCAGGCGCAGTGGTTGATATTCGCCTGGAGGAAGCTTTATGGGGCCGTTATAGGCATTCCATTTCAGCTTCCTCCACGGGGGCCCCTCTGCAGGCGTCGGTGTCGCGGCGGCGGCGGCGGCGGCAGGTGCGGCTGCGGCGGAGGCCACAGAGGTGGTGGCGGCGGAGGGCCCTCCCCTACCCGCGGCCTTGGCCTTGGCGGGTGGCACGCAGGCCTTGCTTCCGGCCCGGTGATCGGCTGGCTTGCCGGTCGCCGCACATGCATCACAGTGCAGCGTGGCGCAGCAGGCGATATGTGTCCGGGCTGACAGCAGCGGAAGCAAAGGCCACTGCGGTCAACCTCCGAGGCGCATCTCACTGATACGTGGTACCCCACGAGACAGCGATAGCACCTCAGAGGTCTGGGCTCCAGCAGCTTAACCTGCACTGAGACCCAGCACAACAGAAGCCTTAGGCCCTCCTCTATGGTTTTGGCCGCCGTAACAGGGCAGCACACCGTGGCGGCATGCATACCCTGTTGGTCCGGGCGTATGGCGCCTGACCTGACCTGGTAAGTAGTGCACCCCCTGGACCTGGCGACGGCGGCCATCAACTCCTCCTCCGATACCGAGTCGACCAGACCCATGATGCGCAGGTCTGCGCATCTGACGAGCCTGGACACTCGGGCCTCGTCCGCGTCCAGAGACGCTCTGAGCTTCGCAGCCAGAGCGTCCGCGGTCGCGCCAATGGATTCCCCGGGGACCTCCAGCATACGGGCCCCCGTCTGGGTGACTTTGAGCCGGAGGCCCCCGGTGATCGATCTTGCGCGCCCTGAACTGGCGCTGCCGCTCCTGCTCTTTGGCCTTTTGGCTGCCTTCTTCCCCTTTTTGTCCCCGACCACCTGCAAACCGGCTTCAGCCGCGGGAGGTGTAGGGAGCTGGGGGGGCGGTGACGGCGGCGGCAGCTGGCTTGCCGCTGGCGCTGGCACATTCGCCGCAGGCACTGGTGCTGGTGCAGCCACCACCTGTGCTGCCGCCTTGCCCTTTTTCGCCTTCGTCTTGCCTCTCTTTCCCGTCGCCAGCATAGCCGGAGCCGGTTCATCCGGTACCAGATTTGCCGGAGCCGGCTTTTCAGGGGGGGGAGGGGCAACTGCAGCCCCGCCCGAGGGCTGGCTGGACGGCCCCGGCCTGGATGCGGCAGCCGTGGCCGCCGCGTACGAGACCGTTGCCGGCCTTGCCGCCGTCTTGTTTGCCCCTAGGGGGAGGGCGCAGGACGATGCCCTCCAGCACGGAGAACCGGTGCTGGAAGACAGCCAGCTCCTGCCGGACCAGGTTCAGAACCTGGTTCTCCACCGGCACGGGCTGGCTTGGGCGCTGCGTCTGGGGCGCCGCGCGAGATGCAGGCTCACGTAGACTGGCCAGGTCTGCGCGGAGCTTCTTGTTCTCCTTCTGGAGAGTCTCCATGGCGGACGTCAGGCGGGCCACGTCCGCCCGCAGCTTCGCCACCTCGTCCGCATTAGGCCCGGCCCCAACAAAGTTGGCCTCCGCAGCCGCCATGATGGAGGCGGAGGCCCCGGGAATGGCCTTGAACTTCGAAGAGGGCTTTTACTTGTAGGCCACGACCTTGATCGCGGCCTCCACCTCCTTTACGAATCTGGCCTTACGCTCCACCTCGGAGCCGCCAGTCGCACTCGTCTCTTCGCCTGATACCCGAGCCGTATCTGCCGGGTGGCGCCCCTCCTCGGCAAGCTTTGCCGCTCGTTCGGCCCTCTGATTGGCATTCCCCTTGCCTCTCAGCCCGCCCCGCCTGTTGGTGGAGATTTTCCGGGCCGAAGCCTCCTCTTCACCGGTTGACGGCCCCTGGTCGCCATCCCGCCTGGACCGCTTGCGGAAGAACTTACTGGTCTCCGCGGTCCCAGGCCCCACGCGTCGGGAGCTCTCTGGGCCTTCCACGCTGCTCGATGCGGCGTCGGAATCTATCCCCACATCGTTCCTCCTCTCCTCTACGTTGCCGGCGGTTTTGGTTTTGGTTTTTTTCCATTTTGTACCCACGAGTATGGGGGAATTAAATGTCCACCTTGGCAGAGACCCCTGTACCAAGGTAAGCAGATTTAGAGGATTTATTACTCGCCAGGGGGTCTGTAGGTACCCTGGCGAGGAGCGCACTAGCGGCTGATTTGTTCATAGAACCCCGTCAGCCATCCATCCTCTCGCGGTTTTTTTTTATAGAATAGGCTGACAAACGAGCACACAGTCCACCTGATGGTAAGTGGTTGCTGCGGCCCATAGACATCTACATCTATCTTCCATTACAAATCAAAATGCAGATGCGTTGTCACCCGTGAGGACTGAGATGGAATGCCTCATTTCCAGTAAAAAGAGTCTCCGGTTCTCTACACTCACCATACGAAATATAGCAGCATTAAGCTACTATTTCACGCTGGTATTCTGTGAGAGCGTGGTCCTTCCCCGGTCGAGCCGACCCATTCGTGCTACAACTACTAATATAACTGCAGCATGGCTCTACCACGTAAGAAGAGTGCGTCGCCGCTTGGGATTCGGAGTAACTTTTTATAGAGGTTTTCTCCCTCGCGGTCCGGGCGATTAAGCCAAGACCCTCGGTCCCTATCAAAGCCGCGAGACTTGATCCACGACACTTCGATACTGGGATTACGAGACCGGCGGTGACAGCAAAGGATGAATCCTTCACTGTCTACCCGGAGGCAGGGTAAGTGCACACCACCCATCCACCACCAACCCATCAGAGGGTTACGCAGAGGAACGCACTGTTGGTCCGGGACGGACCCCCTCCCCATATCAGAATAATTAGCCGCGGCAGCAACATTCCCCAAGGAATAAGAATTTCTTCTCATTTCTCGAGGAAGATTACCGCCGCGCCCAGGGTGCACCGGCCCAGTAGCTGCTCTTCCCTCCAGACGTATCGAGAGAGACCCGCAACTACCAGGCACACGTGGAGGACTTCTGACTTCGCACCCCATTGGCAAACACCCTGCGCTTGGGACTGGAAATCTTGATATAGATATTCTCAATAAATATTTTTCTCTACCACCTGTTTCCTTATCTTCATTTATCCTTTAACTACCGACCTATACGTCTCACAGACGTAATAAATTTTCATTTTAAAATATTTCTAAAATCACGCCACCGTTAGCGCCGCCCTTCCCGCTACCTTCCTCCCTCCGCGTCACAAGCCATCAGTCAACGCTGCGCCGGCGGCGATTGCACACATCTCCGTATTGAAGCGATCGACGTCTCACAGACGTAAGCACGGTGTTTATGTACTAAATTTCGTACGTCTCTTGGTCGTCACCTCGGTATTCATGTGTGGTAGCTTATAGTGTCTGATTGACGTCACATCGGCTTTAAAATTATACTTTTAATCGCAGAATGCCTAAAAGGAGAAACGTCACGTCTAGTGAGCAGAAAATACCTGCAAAAGATGACGGTTCAGTTCCCGAGAGGCCTCTGAAACTTCGAAAACAGAATAGGCCTTTAGAAGATAAAGAGATATGTGAAAATCTTACAAACGAGAGTGACGACAACTGTAGTGATTTTGACGACGATGTAGGCGATCCTGATTTTATTTTAGAGAGCGATCACAACACGGAATCTGAACAATCCGATGAGGATGATGTTGACGTCACGTATCCCCATGTTGAGGAAGTTTACCACGGAGAAATCAACCATAATCACGACAATGAAGAACAGGAAAGAGAAGTACGAGCTCATGGAAGCCAGGACATTACAGAACAGATCGGAAAAGAGACAATAGTCGGAGAGGAACAGCATGGTGCAGCAGAGACTATAATTGAAGAGATCGAAGAGGAGCAGTATAGCGAAGTAGAGACGCGAAATGACCAGGGTAGTGAAGATCTTAGAATAGACCAGGAGCCAAATGAAGAATCAACAGGAGAGCTGCCGCGCTATTTTTACGGGAAGAATAGGTACAAATGGGCATCGGCGGAACCATACCGAACAAGTCGAGTACGCGTGCACAATATTGTCAATGCACCATCTCAAGTAAGTCCGTTTGAATTTGAATCTTTCACGGAATTATGGAAACTGATGTTTAGTGATCACATGATTGAAATGATAGTAACTTATACAAACAAGAAATTAGATAGCTATAGGGCTAAGTATAAAGACAGTAGCAGATCTGAACTAGGCTCAACGAATGAGACAGAAATAAAGGCTTTAATTGGGCTATTGTTTTATACATCAGTATTCCAATCAAATCACGAAAATTCAGACTTTATTTTTGCAACAGATGGCACAGGACGGGATATTTTTCGCTGCGTTATGTCCAAAAACAGATTTCTGGTCTTGTTAAACTGTTTGCGTTTTGATAATACTCAAACAAGATCTGAACGATTAAAAGACGATAAACTTGCCGCTATTTCAGAGTTATTTCATGAGTTCATCAGTAATTGCCAGAAAAATTACACTTTGGGTCCTTACATTTGTATAGATGAAATGCTTGTAGCTTTTAGAGGGCGCTGCAAATTTAGAATATATATGCCAAACAAGCCAAATAAATATGGATTAAAAGTTCTCCTGCTGGTTGACGCTCAAAGTTTTTATATATACAATGCTTATGTATATTATGGCACACATTATGGCGCACAGGATCTGATGGCCATGGTCTAAGTGATGCAGAGAAACGCTTTTCAATTCCCACACAATCTGTTCTACATCTTTGTAAAGGGATCGATGGCTGTAACCGAAATATAACAGCAGATAACTGGTTTACCTCGATAGAACTACTGCAAGCACTGAAAGATCGTGGATTTACTTACTTGGGCACTATGAAGAAAAACAAGAGGGAGATCCCACCAGAATTTCAGCCTCACAAAGATAGAGTGGTTGGTTCTTCGTTATACGGATTCACCAAAGACAATACTATTCTGTCTTACGTGCCTAAGCCTAAAAAAGCTGTATTACTGGTGTCGTCTATGCACCATATCAAAGAGACTGATTCTGCAACTAATAAGCCTATTATGATAATTGACTATAACAAGACGAAAGGAGGGGTGGATGAGGTGGATAAGAAATGCTCGAATTACTCGTGCTCTCGAAGAACTCGACGTTGGCCTATGACTTTGTTTTACAGGTTGATAGATATGAGCGGTGTTAATACGTATGTATTGTACAACAAGTGCACAAACAAGGGCGACATAAGTCGTGGCCGATTTTTACTCCTGCTGGCTCGTGAATTAGTACTCCCGGAAATGAAATTACGCGTCTACAATGAGAGGATCCCACGGGAATTGCGGCTAAGTATCGAGCGAGTTATTGGACCCGCCGATATGCCCGAGCCTCCACCACCAAAAACTTACCAGGATCCAGATTCAGGTGTTAGAAAAACATGTGCAATCTGTCCCAGTCGGTTGAAAAGGCGAACGAAGTACTGTTGCTGCAAATGCAAGAAACCAATGTGCCTTACTTGCTGCCTACAAATATGCATTGACTGCAAATGTACGTAGTGAATGTACCTAATATTCGAGGGCTGTCATTTTTTTATTTTTTAACTAATAAGTAAGATTTATGTTTTATTTTGATAATAGTTTATAGAAGATAACATATTTTAAGTTAATTTGTTGTTAATTACTTAATTTTAGAGAAAAAGAAGACTGAAGTAAGTCCTTAAAATTTATTGCCAAATAATTGAGATCTCTCGAATAAATGTTGATTTTACCAGAAAAATAGCGTGAATTTTTTTTTATTCTGTAGTTTGTCACCTCAAACAACAATTTTTTTTAAATGTATAAAATAGAAAAATGTAGCATGAAAATACACATTTTATTCAAGTACTTAAAGTTTGACGTCTCTCAGTCGTCACGTCGGCGTAAGTGCTACGTTTAGACCAGGTCGGCAGCTAAAGGTTATAAAAGCTAAGACCCTGCTAGAATTATCCAGATGCCCATTGCAACATTCCAGCCAGTTTGAATTTGTATCAGTGTCAGAAGATGAAGTAAAATGATCAGTGCTATCTATATCTTCTACTGCAACGGGAAATGACAAAATTTCTTCCACAATGATAACTATGATTTTACCTTGTATTCTCCCAGTTCTTACTCACATATTTAATTTTTCATTATCTTTCTCCTGTTTTTCACACTCGTGGAAGTTAGCACAAATTATTCCAATAGCCAAGGTTGCTAACCCTACATTACATTCCGAATTTCGACCTATATCTATATTACCATTCCTCTCTAAAGTACTTGAACATATTGTTCACAATCAATTGTCTTCTTACCTTAATTCTAACAATATTTTAAGTTTATTTCAATCTGGATTCCGGCCCGGTCATAGTACAACAACTGCTCTTCTTCAGGTAACTGATGATATCCGTAGAGCCATAGATCAAAAACAATTAACCGTACTCGTTTTATTAGATTTCAGCAGTGCCTTTAATTCTGTTGACTTTGATATCCTCTTAAAAATTCTCCAGTCTATTAATGTTTCACCTTCGGCCATTCTCTGGTTTGATTCCTATCTTCGGGGTCGCTCACAATGTATTCGTTCCAATGACATTTATTCCAACTGGTGTAATCTTATAACGGGTGTACCCCAGGGTAGCGTCTTGCCTCCTTTGCTCTTCACCGTTTTTATCAATTCTATAACAAAAATAATATCCTCCAACTTCCATCTTTATGCAGACCATTTGCAGCTTTACCGTCACTTTGTGGCATCTGAAGCTAAATTGGCGATAGAAGCACTGAATGATGACTTGAAGAGAATCAGTCGCTGGTCCAGACCACATGGTATAACTATTAATCCAAGTAAGTCTCAAGCAATAATAGTAAGTAGCAGATATACTAGTAGCTTAATTGATAAATGCACCCTGCCAGATGTGATTATCAATGGCACATCAATTACTTATACTGAATCTGTGAAGAACCTGGGCTTAATTATTGAAAATAGGTTGTCATGGGGTCCTCACATAACGGACTTAGGTAGAAAAGTTTATTATGCTTTCCACTCATTAAAACGTCTTCAAAGTTTTTTACCCTTATCAACAAAAATCTATCTTGTTCAAACCCTTATTTTGCCTATCTTTGATTACGCTGATGTCTGTTTTTTGGATGCCACAGAGGAGCAATTAAACAAACTTGAGCGATTACAAAACCTTTGCATTCGGTATATTTTCGGACTTAAGAAGTTTGACCACGTCTCTAAATTTAGAAAGCAACTCAAGTGGCTCCCGATCCGATTTCGCAGGAACACTCGTATCCTTTGTCTCCTTTTTAACATCCTACATAGCCCAAAGGGGGACGCCCATTTTCGGCCATGGAACGCCCAACAATGTGAATTTGTTAAAAAATTATATCTTTATTTATGGTTATTAATCGCAGGATTCATTTATCGATAGCGAAAATATGCAATTTTTTTCAATGAACCATTCTAGTCGCTTGAGCATCATAATGTGGAAAGTTTTACAAAGACATGACTCTAAGGAAATTGGTCTCAGCTTAACATCAGAATTAGATGGGCCACTATTTTTTGGTATAGGTATAACCAGCACATTACGCCATTGACTTGGTATATTTCCAGACCTGAACACAAGGTAATAAAGAATTAAAAGAAATTTTTTGGCGATATCGGGAAGATTATATATCATACTATATGTGATTTCGTCATCTCCGGGAGCAGTATCTTTTTTTTTTAAGACAACTTTTCAATTCTGCCATTGTAAAATCAGTCTCTAATGAAGGATTTTTAGACATAAAATTGGGACATACGTCGGTAGCAGTATCCGGTGTGAGTGAAAGTAGAAGCTTTTCTTGCTGATCTAATGGAATGAATGATTTTTGTTTACGAATACCCTTCATCCATCGCATGCGCTGCCACATGTTTGATATTGAAGTTTCTCCATCTATCGAATCGCAAAAGTTCTGCCAATGTTTACGTCTTGCATCTACTATAAGTTTACTAGCTTTTTTAGTTTTTACTTCTAAGTGAGTCAAATTGTTGGGAGGATTACGTCTAAAATTCCTAAGGGCTAATCTTCTTTGAGCAACTGCTCTAGACAGGGCTGGGTTCCAATAATTTTGGGGTTTAAATGTTGTTGCTGGATCAATGCGTACTTTTATAGTAGGTATACTAGCATCAGCCGCTTTATCAAGTTAAGAAAGTAGAAAATTATACATTTCTTGAATACATGTTTCATCATATATATCAATATCTAATAAATCATCGCTAAAGGATTCTTTAATTATGTTAGTATATGCTACCCAATCAATTTTCTTAAAATTACGTTTCTGAATGCCATTATAGTGTTTTGGGATTTTAGTACTTAATTTAATTAATAGATGATCGCTGCCTAGATTTTCATTGAGCACCTTCCAATCGAAATTTATAGCAATATCATTTGATACAAAAGAAATATCTGGGGAAGTTTCTTGTAAAAACCCACTGACAAGTTTAACTCTTGTTGGCATTCCATTATTAAGAGAAAAATAACCATGTTCTACCGATGCGTCTACTAATTGCACCCCTCGTGCATCGTTTTTGTACGACCAATTGCTGTGGTGTCCATTAAAATCACCTGCTATTAACGATTTTTTTGGGAAGAGGGAAAATAGCTCCTCCCAGTCTGATACCTGAGTTCTAACTGAAGATGGACAATAGATTGATATATGTGCAATTTAACACATACGGTTTCTATGCCTGGGTTAGTTAACCGAATTATACTTACTACGCTTTTAAGTGAGTTGTGTGTAACGATTGCAACTCCACCATAAGAGTCATATCTGTCCCGTCTATAGATATTATAACCTTATATATTATATATATTAATATTATCATCGTTATCTAACCATGTTTCACTTAGTATGGCTATGCGTATTTTTTCTTTTACCAAAAGCTCCCCAAGATCTATCAATTTTGGTTTCAAACTTTGTGTATTCCACTGTAATATATTAATAGCGATATTTTTGTTATTTGTACTATCCATTATTCATATAATTTAAAACAGTTTCATACATTTTTCGTCCTGATATTAAACTACTCACAAATGTTTTAATTACTTCAAAAATAGCCATGAAAACCGCAATAACTTTATGCTCTAATCTTTTTCTAGAGTACCAAATAGAATGAATTTTTAATAAGAGTCCCTTAAAATCAAATGTTTTTTGTCTTATTTCTTCTTCATCTGAAGTACTTTTTTGGCTTTCTTCTTCTGCTTCCTTAAACTGCGTATCATTTTCTATTGTATTTATTTTTTTCCTTCCTTTTCTTTGCCTTTGTTTTGTCTTCTCCTTTTTATTTGTTTCTATAGGTATTGTTCCTTCATCTGAGGCTAATTCTTGATTATTTTCCTTATGAACTTGAGCGTTAGTAACAACCTGACTATAACTTCGAGCTACACGGTTTTCCAAAACTTGTGTCGGCTGTTCTGTCATCTCTTGATTGACAAAAGTATCTTTAGAGTGTATATTTAAGTTATTGCTCATTTCTATTTGATTTTTATTTATAATCATCTGAAGAGCTTTTCTATAAGGTATATTTTCCTTACTCATAGTGATTCTTTTTCTTTGAGATACATAGGACATCTTTTATCTAAAACGAAATGTAATCCTTTACGATTGAGGCACTTGTATGTTTTTAGATCACAGTTTATGTGTTCCGTACTACCACATTTTGGACATAAATTTTTTTTAGTCGGGCATACTTTAATAATATGTCCGAATTTCCAGCATCCGGTACATTGTGTTACTGGAAAAGTGTAGTTTTCCACTTTAAAATTATACTCATATGCCGTGACATAAAGAGGTAAAACAGTGCCTTGAAAGCATATCCTTACAGTTTCACTTTCGACCCACTTGATATTTAAATCAAGTCGTTAAAGTCGTCTTACCGCCAATATTTTGGTATCACTTTTCAAAATTGCTAAAATCTCTTGTTCTGTAAACTCTAATCAATCCATAAGAAACCGTGGTTTCAAAAGTTTTTTGACATTTGTACTCTAATTCTTGAAATTTTTTACAACTTATTAATTTCTCCGCATCATTATTACTTTGAAAGCAAATCAAAACTTTGAAAGGAGACTTATATTTGATTGTTTCAATATTCAGAATATTCTCACTTCGTAATAATTTAGCTAACGCCATTTGCTTTGGTATTTCTTTAAATGATGTAACACAAACCTCATATTTAGATCCGATTTCTTTCGATGTTGTCTTTTGTCTCTGTCCTGTTGAAATACTTCTTAAGAGACGTTTCGGTCTTCTTTTTTCAACTGTCACATAACCATCTTCGCTGTTTGTATCTTCTTCACATGCTTTTCTCTTCTCCGATCTCACTTCAGGCTTTCGAGTTGTAAACCCAGCGTTTGCATGTTCCATTTCAGACTCACGAGTGATTCTTCGATCCTCAATTTTGCTTAGTTCTAATTCACATTTACGTATGACTTCCGAATCACTTTCATCACTTCCATCTATCGATTTATCTTTATCACTATCGATATTTAAACATTGAGGGTAAACCGCTTGCCAAGCGTGGCAACTATTGCTAGAGGCTCCCTGTGAGGGAAGGCCTATGTTCAGCAGAATTTTAATAGGTTGTAACGGAAAATTTTCTATTAAAATAAGTCAGGAATTATGAAATTATACCTTAACATAAAGGCTTTATCGCCTACGAAAACATAAGGCAAAGTCGTACCATTTACTGTAGAAGGATTTGGTAATTTTAAGGAATTATTTAAGAGGTTTTTGTAGAATTCCGTTTCATTTATAACCACCATCCGAACCTCTGCCGTTTGTAGCAAAATGAAAATAAATAAACTCATAATTGGCGTTAGCAATGGACATTAGGACTTGACTATTAAAATATTTATAATTATAAAAATAAGATACAGCTCCTGGAGGAGGTCTTATCCTTATATGTTTCCCGCCTACAGCGCCCAAAGAGTTAGGCAAATCCCATCTATTTTCAAAGTTTTTCCCAATTTCGATCCATTCGTTCTCACTTGTTGGAAACTGCAACAAATAAATAATTATTTTTTATTGTTTCAGCAATCTGATGACGACAGTATTGAAGTATTGAAACCACCAGTGATGAAGTCGCTTCACCAAAATCAGATATCGCATCAGTTGAAAGGTTTAGTGCGCTGTGAGCCTCAACAAGATCGTAGTTTTAAACGCCGGAAAAACCTGGCTGTTTCCCAAAATGTTGATCGAATGATTGAAACTATAGGCAATAAAATATGTGAAATAGCAGCGGATGACAAGTTTGATGCCTTCGGTAAAAACGTGGCACATAAGTTGCGATCTTTGCCTACAAATCAACGCTTATTTGCGGAAAAAATTATAAATGATGCTCTGTTTGAAGCCGAATTGGGTAATTTAAACAGACAGTGTTTCTTACACCTTCCCCCTCAATCCTTTCCTATTTGTCACTCACAAAAATTACAACCACTCTCTTCACGAGTACTCGATTTTCAAGCACGTGAGCCACTCATACTACAGCCACCCACACAAACAATAGTTCATACAACTCAACCATCCACACAACAGGAACTCAACTTTCATACACGCGAGCCCGAAAAAGAATCTCCAGTCCATGTTCACATACCAGATGACGCGCAAACATTTTATAATACTTTTTCCGTTGAGTGAAAGTAATTTTAGCCAAATGTTAAGATATATTATTATGTTAGATGTAAAACAATAATTTGTCGACAGTATAATGTTTTAAATATATTTATATTTCATTATACCTAATTATCATCACCAACAGCGCATAATAATCAACTGCTATGGTAAATTTATACTTGCCATACAGTAATCCTTTAATGCATTGAAAATGGCTTCGCACGTTTCTGGAATGATCTTTCCCAAAGACTGTGGTGAAATCAACGTTTTAAATTTTAAATCTTCGTAAGTCGTTCCAGTAGCCAGGAAACGCAGTGTTGCAGTTAGACGTTCGTGAGGAGTAATATCTTGCCTCATATTGCTATCATTTTTTATTATTCTGGAATGTACCTTGTGCATAAGCTCTAAGTATGTTTATTCTGACATCCTATGGTAGTTATGCCAATATTTAGGATGAAAACGTAATTTCTCAAGAAGATTGATGTGAGAATATTGATGTCTTTTCAGAAGCCATCTCTTAGAGCGCATCCTATGAAATTCTAAGACCCATTAACGAAAAGTTAGCCATTAAAAAATTCGCGGATGGCTTACGAAATAAAGGCTTAAGCACGATTATTTCACCTAGAGACTGATGACTGATGATGAGACATAGATGATTGATGACTGATGACGTTGAAAGACGTGGTGAGAACTGCACAACACGAGGAACTCGCACAACCATCTAGTCCTAATACGGTGCTTAACATGATGGGTAAGTACTCTAAAACATTTTACAGAGGCCGTAGAAGACATACACGTTCCTAGACGTGGGTATTCCAATTATATCAGGGGTTACTATGGTAACAACTACGGTAACTCGAATAAACCCTTTAACAACAATCCTTGAAGCGGACCATCAGGCTAGCGTGTGTTTCGTTCGGGTCCATATCGAGGACGAGTTATTCATTATAGGGGTAACAAACGATGCATGTTTACGTCTCAACAATCTACCTCTAACGATGTTACAAAGAATGATAATATTGATTTGAATGAGTTTTTTCGTCAATAAATATTCCGGTATGACTTATAATCAAAATATTAATTTTTTTATATCGAATATAGGAAATGTTCATTTTTAATCGACACAGGTGCTTCTCTATCGCTATTTCAAAAACATTTTTACCAAGTGGAATAAACACTTATCAAGACAATATTATCATTAATGGTATAGGTGGCGAAATTCGTCCCTGAGAACGAACATAAAGCGACAGATGGATCCCTTTATGAACACAAATTTTATTTGTTTGATAAACTTTCCTGTAAATCGAATGTAATACTCGGATTAGACTTTTTAAATAAATTAAAATCCAATATTGATCTCAAAATTATATTTTAACGTTACAGAATGACAATAATACAACGTGTAACATTAAAATGTACAATTCTTCTAAAATAAATTATGACATTTTAAATATCCATCCACGATGTGTATCGGTACATTACATATCATTAAATAATAATGTAACAAAGGATTGTGTTGTTTTCCCAATTCAATTACAGGAAGACTTGTTTTTGGTAGAGACTATTGTTTCTCCAATTAACGACATCATACCTATACGTTTACTTAATACCGGTGAAAAAGAAATTAATTTACCAAAATTTCAACCAGAAATTCACTTATTAAATGAATATCAAATGACTTCATTTAATACATGTATTTCAAGTTCACAAAGAGCTAAAACATTGTTAACACTACTGAAATTAGATCACTAACATTGTTACGAGCGACAAACTATGGCATGTATTTGTTCGAAGTATGCCGACACATTTTCTTTACCGGGCGATAAGCTTAGTTCCACGAATCTCTATCAACAAGGTATTAATTTGAAACCTAATAGCAGTACTGTTTTTGTGAAACCATACAGGCTACCTAATAGTTTAAAGTCGGAATTGAATGCACAAATTAAACAACTATTAAACGACGACATTATTGAGAAAGCACAACGCGAATGGTCAAGTCCAATTTTGTTGGTTCCCGAAAATTCGGATCAACCAAACACAAAAAAGTAGAGATTAGATACTACCGAAATAAAATGATTGTATAGAAGATGATCGTTTTCTTCTACCTAACGTAACTGACATCATATATTAGCTTTCTGGTTCCATTTACTTTTCACATCTAGACCTTAGTCAATCATTTTACCAATTAACTTTGAATCCTGATAGCTGTAAGGTGGCACCTTCACAACTAACACGGGACAATACCAAATGAAGCGTTACCCATTAGTTTAAAGATAAGTCCAAGTGCGTTTTCCCGGGTAATGACTGTTGCCATGTCAGGCTTATCACCAGATAAATGCTTCATTTATTCAGATGACCTTGTAATTTTTGGACGAAATTCGGAAATTCATAATAAAAATTGTCTGATTATTGTAATAAGTAAAGAGGTTTTCTAATAAATGTTAATTTTGAAATAAAATTTTAAGTTTTTTTCTTATTATCACCATAAAGCCAACCTTTACCCTATTTCACTTCTGTAACGTTAGGCCCAAACTCGCCCGTCTCCTTTGCAAGAGACACAAAAAACCATTAAAGGAGTCCGCACACTAATGGGAACGGAAAGGGATCGTAACCGTATCGCCTCGAGTCGTTCAGAATGGTTTGTATTTAACTCCCTACTGCAACGCACACTAATCGGAATCGTACCGTGATCGCCTCCCCTCAGAACAGGCTCCGAACTTGCAATTCCCGCGCTTACGGCTCCTTACGTCTCTCCGTCCCCGCGCTTACGTCTCTCCGTCCCCTGTCCCCTCCTGCGACTTGCGTGCTAAAGAGAAAGACGCCGCCATCCTGCCATTCGCAAGGCGTATTTCATTTGTGTTGCGCGTATGTTTTATTTAAAATTTTAAGTTAGATTCAAACACAAAATAACGATGCAAAGGGAGAAACTTATTGAAGAAGTGAGAAAATATCCATATTTATATGACTTAAGTGACGCTAAATACAGTAATAGTATAAAAAAGGACGAGGCTTGGAAACAAATAAGTATTACTTTAAAGCAATCTGGTAAGTACCTACTCCTATTTAATTTTTTATCTAATGTTTTTCGCGTATGTAGGTATGTATGGGAAATAAAACAGTTGTGATTAATATAATTTATGTGATTATTATAATGTAAAATTTAACTGTAATATCCATTAAGAATTAACATTAATATTTAAAGCTAAAAGCTACAATTCTGCCATGGTACTCGTCCGGTAGAAGTTTGAAAATATGTTTTGAACATTTCACGTACATTAAAAGCAGTAGCCATATGGGCACCACTAATATTTGGTAATTGACTTAACAATCGGTCTTCGCCGAATTCAACTGTAATTTCATGTTCTGTTCTGTTCGGTTCCTGTAAATTCATCTCAATGTTATATGTCCTCATCATGTTGTGTAAAATGCAAGTTGTTAATACCACTTTATCTACAAACTTTGGATGCAATTTAATATTTTTGTTGTAAATCGCAAATTTTTGATATAAAATTCCAAAAGCGTTATCAACAACCCTTCTAGCTCGTGATAAGCGGTAATTATATTGCCGTTCAGGATCTGATAGTCTCCGTGTATTTGAGCGACGATATGGTCTTAATAAATATGTCTTCAATGGAAATGCCTCGTCTCCCACAAATACATGTGGCATTGCATGATTAGTACCTGGTAATGGTTTGTCACATGGAATATTTAATGTGTTTCTTTCAAGTGCCTTTCCAAATGTAGATGACGAATAGATTCCGCCATCGCTGTTTTTTCCATAGGGTCCGACATCAACCGCTATGAATCTGTATTCAGGATCAACTATAGCTAACAAAACAATAGAAAATGTTTTTTTATAGTTAAAAAACAACGATCCACTATTGGGAGGTGCAATTATATTTACATGTTTGCAGTCAATGGCGCCTATGCAATTCGGAAAGTTCCATTTATTTTTAAATCCTTCTTCGATTCCTTGCCATGCGGCTGTAGTTGGTTGAGGTATATGAATTGGCATTAATTTATTTATTATTGCATTGCACACATCTATTACTATCAAACGAATAGTTGATTCTCCTAAACGGAAGCTCGATGATAAATTAGTAAATGTAGATCCAGTTATGAAGTACCTGCAACAATAAATGTATATTTATATAATACGTGTATATGTTTATGTGAATGTGTGTGTGTACGTACTCCCTTTCACACATACCTACATTATGTAACTACATGCGCTTGACATAGTTAACCATGATTTATTTTATTTCAGAATCTGAATACAAGAAAACTTGGTTAAATCTTAGAGAGTCTCACCGACGAGCTATGAAGAAGCGTAAAACTAAGAGTGATCAGGCAGCCCCGACGACGAAAAAGTGGACCTTTGAAGATGATATGAGTTTTTTAGTACCTCATTACAAAGAAAGAAATACGATCTCTTCGGTTGATTATGATGACGATTCAGATGTTAGCTTGGGTAATGATGATTCACAGAACTCAATAAACATAATTCAGTCTCCAGAAAACTCACAACCGGAAACTTCTGCACTTTCGCCGCGTCCTAAGTCTTCTGCATCTTCAGTTACATCCAAAACTTCAAAAAAAAAAGTTGAAAGCAATTCAGCGTCACAAACTTTAATGAAATATTTGTTAAATCACAACGAAACCAAAAAAAGAAGATGAGATAGAAACATTTTTTAACAGCATTGCGGCTACGGTTAAAAAAATTTCTGAATATAACCAAGCGGTTATAAAAAGTAAAATATATAACGCAGTTTCGGAAATGGAGTTAAAAGAAATCGCAGAGAAACAAAGCTATTACAATTATCGCAACCCTTACATTCCCCAAAGAGAAGATGACATGCCTCGAGGTTATACCACTCTAAATAACATTAGCCACGAGATACAATCAACATCTGGCGCTTCAAACATTGATGATTTTAATATGTCAAACTTAGAAGAAAATGGCACGTCAAATGCTGACGATCTTAATACTTCAAACATTCTTTAATTTATACAATGATTGCATTTTTGTTGTAGCGCTATGTTTGTTAAATTGCCATAATTTTTTGATTTTATGATATCTTTTAGAATGATAAAAAAATATGTGATTTGTGAGTATTTTTTTTACCTAAACTAAAAAAAAGTTGCAGTTACTAACCCATACGTTTTGAATATTGTAAAATAGTTGATATAATTTTGGTGTACAATAAGGTATATTCTATTCTATTCTTACGCACACACACAAAATATACACACACACATCAGACATAACACGTACACCCCCCGTACACACCTGATCGCTAATGAGGGTTGCGTTCCAAAACAAATAATTTTATCGACAGAGGGTAAAAATTAATCTATCTCGAAGTTTCGGAACCGAGTTTTATTTTGTACACTACAGACGCCAGCACATCAACCTACTACAATCTGTCAAAATTCTTTAATAGATTTTCAACTTTATCGCTAAAGCATTAGGTTCAAAGTTGATTGGGAAAAGCTGGCGTCTGTACAAATATTTTTGTAGACCAGATTAAAAATTCCAAAAACAAATGCAATTTCTCACCTTAACGTTACAGCTAGTTTTTCTTCGGGCGATATTGTTTCTCTGAATGTTGTATTCTTCTTCCTTATACATTCATCTATAGACTGCAATATGTTATAAAAGAGAAATTTCGGCATATGAAAATAAATATAAAATTTCTCTTCATCATCCATCAAATGTTTTTTTATAGTCCGAAATTCCCCTTCAGTACTCCTTGCTTTATTCATATTGTGTACCCAATATCTTTTCCTTTTTTCTTGCTATTTTCTTTTTCCTCTTCATCAAGTACTATGGCTATGATAGCCAACTCACGTATTGTAAACCAAGACATAACCGTGCGCTACACTTAACGTTCGGATTCAAACTGATCTGGTGCCAACCAGGTCAGCCAGCGGGCGGCGAGGCGTAAGCGCGGTGTCGCCTAGCCGTAGCCGAGTTGACGTACAGGCGCTGCTGATACGCTTTCGTTACGTGCATACGGTAGGTTGACGCCTGGTTGACAGCGAGGTGAAAGGCGATACGGTTACGATCCCTTTCCGTTCCCATTAGTGTGCGGACTCCTTTATTAGGAAGACTGGCAAAAAGAACAACTTATTCTACTTTGGACCACCAAGCAACGGCAAAACAATGTTAATGAGATCAGTTGTAAAAATGCACTACAACTACGCAATACTAACAGGACTGCAACCAACATCAGCATTTAACTTTGACAACTTAGTAACAAGAAATGCTTGTTTTTTGGACGAATGTCGACTGACAGATAACCAATTCAAACAGTGGAAACTACTCGCAGGAGGACAAACCATGAATACAGAAGTGAAATACAAAAATCAACTACTAATTGAAAATTTTGTATTATACACAGCAAGCAATTATGAAATAGGAACTTACCTGCAATGTGGCAATACCGAAGATGCAATCGCAGAGAGAACAATACAACTTCTATCACAAAACAGACTTTATAAAATTAAACGCATTCGTATGGGAGATGTTTCTGGAAAAATTTGGCATCGTGTCACTCTTCGAAGACATAGAAAACAACATTAATACACCTCAAAATAATACATACGAAGACTTTTATGTAAATTATGTGGACGACGACGATGACTTTGAAACCAGCAGGGCTATTCACAATGCGTCGGAATTGTTTCTCTCGGAAACGGAAAAGTTTCGTTCGACAAGTTTTCGATCCAAATGTCACAGACTTTGGTATTCACATCTCATCTCGTTTAGGATTCGACACGGAAAGTTTTTCGAATGTCAGTGGGAGTGCATTATAGATTGTCTATGCGTCGGAAGTGACCTCCGTCCCACATACAATTTTGTAATGTTTATAAAGAAAGATAGTCGAAAATGGCACTAAACTATATAAAACGTGTCTTCAAATATGTCATATTTTTGATACAAATTTTGTAAATTAATGTAATTTTCGATAAAATAATATTACTTTTAATATACTTTATTCTATATTTCCATAATTGAAAATTAATCTTTTTTACTAACATACTTCGTAAATGCTATTTTATTGTCATTTCGTTTCGGAGCAAAACAAGAGTTGTCGATTGTATTGTTGTCACCCCTTCAGGGTAAATGTATTCTGTGGTGGTCACTTAGCTTAATACTCTTATTAGTTTGTGGTTGTCACTAAATTTAAATCTTTTTTTGTGTGATTTAAATAAAATAATATTGGAAATTCCTGTGGTGAGTGGAGCTATTCAAGTTATTTAATTGTTACATCTTGATTTCTTTGATTTTAGTACCTAATAAGTTTGTTGATTATTAAAAATACACTCATACTTCTGTGAGCAAAGAAATTTAAAAAAAAACGATTGCAAACGTACATTAAAAGTTTTATCTATTTAGTCTAGTCTTCATTGAAACTAATTTTGGATATATTTTTTGTATTTCAGCAAAAAAGATCACGTGTTTCCTACGAGCAGCGTGAAAAAATGTTTGAATTCATGGTGGCGCATCCCGATTTTGCCAGAAATCGGGTTGCAGGTGCAGATGCTGCCCGTAGGAAATTAAAACTGCAGACTGAACTAGCCACAATTTTGAACAACTGTGCCACAGTAGCAACAAAAAGCGCCGAGAAATGGATAAAGGTATCAATTGTTTGTGTTCAGGTGCTACAAGTTCATACATATTGTAGTGCTAGTCTAGTGGATCGCTTAAAGCCAACTTTGTTATGTATGCCAATAATCGTGCATACTAACCTTTATTAATGCAAATATTTGATAGTGTTGGCAAGACTGGCGCAGCGATGTTAAATCTAAAGCTGCCAAAATCCGCCGTGCTCAGCAGCAGACTGGTGGAGAGCCTGAACCTGCACCCTTATCTGCCATGGAGGAATCTCTAATGGCATTTATTGCCCAGCAGCAGAGGGCCTTGCCGTTGCTGATACCTTAGAGGTACTACAAATTCATATTTAATTTTTAGGATTCAATACTCTCCCTGCTTCCTTTCGATTTCTTAAAAAAATGGAGCTTTGTAGTGTAACTTGTATTTGTACCAAACAACAAATATATATTACAAAAATTAATAAGGTTGCTAAATGTATGTTCATAGTTATTCAAAATTTACTATTAAACATTTAGCAGTATGAGTCCACAATAGAATAAACTCATTCTAAAGAAATGTGCATCTGCATATTCTTGTGTATAACTGATAGAGATCCCAAACCCCATTTATAAGTGAGAGAAGTAGGAAGGATATTATACAGTTTCATTTCGTTTTGTCTTTACAGATTCCTGAAGGTGATGCAGAAGTAGACGCTGGTGGTGAAGAAGACGTCCACAATCTGGTAGTGGATGATAGAAAAACAAAGAAAAAACGTAATTATATTGATTACTTTTTATTGTTTAGTTATTATTTCATGTCTTAATATGTTTTATGTTGTTGTAGAAGATAGACTCGAAGAGTGTCTAGAAGTTCAGGCTGCAGCCATGAATACGCTCTCACAGTCTATGAATATTTGGCTGCAGCCGTAAATAATTTTGCTGCAGCCGTCAAATCCATGGCCAATAAAAGTGATGAGTGAAATTTAATCCAAGGTAGGTCAATATAGTTAAATAATTTTGATTAGTATGAATTATTTAAGTTTAATTAAAAGAATAAAAGATAATAAACAAATAATTATTTATAAATTGTTATTAATAAAATAATCTTTCTATTAATTGTTGGCGCACTTGAAGGCCCCGCTGTATATATTTGTATCTCTCTATAATGATCTGCTGTACTCGCGTCTGATGCTAAAGCCTCTTCATCAAGTATGTCGGGAAAACTAAGTCCTGCTGTTATGCACACATTGTGTAAAACTGCACATGCATTTACAATGCAGTCTACTTTTGTTGGTTCATACTCCATTTTCTTAGTAAGCATCGAAACCTTGACTTAAGAACACCGAAACACCTCTCAATACTTTTCCTTGACTTTATATGGGTGTTGGTATATCGACTTTGAGGTGTGTTTTCTTCAGCATTAAGGATCGGTGTGAGGAGCCATGGCTCCAAGGGATATCCGGAATAACCTGTAATTCAAATAAACAACTAAAACATTACAAATACTGTTTTAATTGAGATTATTTGTTTCAGATGTATCGAAAATATTGTTTATTGCAATACCTAGAAGCCAGCAAGTATTGCCTTCACCATTAAGGTTCATCATCACCTTTCGTAGTGCACTAAACCTCCATATAAAGGAATCGTGTGTTGCACCAGGATATCGTGCACACACATTTAATATTTTTAAGCAACTGTCACAAACCTATGAAAAGCGAAATCAATTAGTAACAGAGTTTAGGTCACTTGCATAATTAATATACAGAAGTCATAACGATCTATTATTAAAATTCAAAACCAATGTCCTGAATTTTTGTAAGGTATTTGTACTTAAATATAAATGACACAGTTCGGAGGGATCAAGTAAACAGTGTGTAGTCATGTGGTGACATGGAATTTATTTACCATTTGTGCATTAAGCGTGTGTTCACCCTTTCTATTTACATAAAGTTCTACATGTTGTGTTGGCTTCTTAAGTTTTATATGAGTGCCATCAATATAGCCCAATACTCCAGGAATTCCGAATTTTTGGTAATTTCTGCAAATGAATATAAGACTGATTGTGATACTAGCTTCATAGACATTCGAAGGATAAAACTATGTGTGTCAAGGTAATTAGGTTCCTACTTAGAATATAATTGTTATTTTTTATTTTTTTAAATGATTATAGTTATAGTTTTTAAAATTTTAATAATTTGTTGTAATTTTTTATTTAAATGTTGACATGTTAAAATAATAAAACATTTATGTAATATGAAAGTATTTATTATTTATGAAGTTTTCTGACAAACTACTTGTAAACATATTTATGTCCCACTGCTACTTATGTGCACAACCATCTCATAAGGGGTCTAGCCTTATATCTCACTCTTAGCTGCTTTGGATATTTTCGAAAGACAGCACATACTGCTGCTGTCTGTAACCTGGTCAGTCCCTTAGTTACCTACTGAATGAAAATCGCATGGATTACTTCGAGATGCTAGCAGGTTTGTTATGTGGTAGCCACGCTGCAGCTACATTATAGTTGTAGCATGAATGGGTCGGCTCGACCAGGGCAGGACCACACTCATAGAATAACTAGCCTAATTCTGTTGTGTTTTGTATGGTGAGTGTAGAAAATTGGAGACCCTTTTTACTGGAATTAAGGCATTCCAACTCAGTCCTCATGGGTGACAACATATTTACATTTTGATACTTAATTGAGAATAAACGTGGATGTCTATGAGCCATGGAATCCACTTACCATTATATAGACTGTGCTCGTTTGTCACCCAATGCAATGAAAATAAAGGTACCTAATTTAAATTTGCATCGGGAAAGATCACCATAATTATTGAATTTTAGTTTTTTATCTATACATACACTCACCGGCACGGAAACTTAGCCAAGCGGTTATCTCGCGATAGCAAAAGCTTTAAGTGTTTCTGATGAATGTTTGTTATGCAAGTATGTCAAAAAATGTTTACCCTCAAGTTCAAGAGGGTAATTCATTATGTTTAAGTGCACCATGACGAATTCTTTAATTTTTAGTTGAATCGGGTCATTTGAGCGACTAAGTTCACATTTTAAATTTGTGTGTTGTGAAAAGTTTACTGTAAGGTTATTCAATTATTGTGATCTTGTGTCTTAATTAAATAACTAAAGGTGCTTTAAAGCCAATAAAAATGCCATTAACACCAGCACAAGTTGCACAAGCAGTAGCATTAATTGACCAAGGGCTGACACAGCGTGAAGTTGCTATTGTGCTTAACGTACCACGGTCCTCAATGCAGTATTCACTGAAACGATACCAGGAGACAGGCCGCTACACCCGCAGGCCAGGCAGTGGAGGCGTAAGGTGCACATCGGCCCGGGACGATCGTTTTATTGTTATGGAGATTTTGAGAAACCGCTACCTGACCGCTGTTGAGATACGCCAGCGGCTCCAAATCACAAGAGGCGTTAATGTTAGTGAGCGTACGGTGAGAAGACGAATGGAGGAAGTGAATTTAAAAGCTCGTAGACCAGCACGAGGTCCAGAACTTCTCAGACAGCACCGAGTAGCCCGACTTCAGTTCGCAAGAGAACATGTCAATTGGACCCACGAGCAATGGGCTAGAGTGTTGTTCACAGATGAGTGTCGAATAGCTTTACGTGCTCCAGACGGTCGAGAACGAGTGTGGAGAAAAAGAGGAGAGAGGTTTCTACCCATTACCACCACCCAAACTGTGAGTTTCCATGGAGGCTCAATAATGGTATGGGGAGGTGTAAGTTCCGACGCACGTACAGAGTTGGTCATCGTCGATAATCGGCTTACAGCTACTCGATACATCGAGGAAGTTCTTCAGGAGCACGTAATGCCTTATTCGGTATTTATTGGACACGACCAATTCCTCCTCATGCACGATAATGCACGCCCGCACGTCGCACATTGTGTAGAGGAATATCTGGAAGAGGTTGGAATACAAAAATTACAGTGGCCAGCTCGTAGCCCGGACTTAAATCCAATTGAGCATGTATGGGGTATGCTCAAAAGAAAGATAAAGTCCAGCTCCAAACCGCCACAAACTCTAAATGAGCTCCGAAATGCAGCGCTGGCCGCTTGGGACAGCATACCGCAAGTTGATGTCAGAAACATCATTCAAAGCATGCCAGATCGAATGCAAGCGGTTATCAGGGCTAGAGGAGGAAACACCCGATATTAAAACTGATAGACAATAAAGAAACAGACTTAATTTTTAACTTCGTAGTGTTTTTAAAGTGACAATGGAAAGATGTTAATTTTAGTGAAAACATGTTATCTTGAAAAGAAAAATTTCGGTGAAGTAAACATTAAATTTCTATGTTCTAAAACCATTAGAGACACTTATTGAATGCATCTACCCTTAATTTACTGTTAAAAAAACGTTTCAGTGCAAATAATCAGCAAATTCACGAGTGGCCAAGTTTCCGTGCCGGTGAGAACACTAACGAAAGAAAAACACTAAATTGAGTATTTTCGAGAAACAATAAGTGGCTTTTGTTAGAAAAACGTAACTGATGACAAAAAGTGACTTTTTAGAATTTTTGTCGGTTTGTCTGTTTGTCTGTGTGTATGGTACGGCTTCACGCCACGGATAGATTGAATTGAAATTCAGCAAAAATGTTCTTTGTAAACCAAGGAAGGCTTTAGGCTACATATTATCACGCTGTATGTTATAGGAGGTAAGCAGTATTGATTTTAAAAGGTTTTTCTTCTTAATTGAAGGCACAAAATAATTGAATGCACAAAATGACATGTTAATAGTTAAAATAAAAATAAAAATTTAACTCTGGGAACATAAATATCACGCTATTTTTACAAAGGAGCGGCGCAGTAACATTATAAATTGCAAGGGAACAGCTGTTTAACAATATTGCAAAGGGAATTTAGCGGTAAGGTCAGGCGACCGTTTACCGCATTAAATGGTGCCAGTTTAAATCCCATAAAATAGTTTTGAAAAATGGTTATTTTTTGCACTTTTTATGTGCATTAGGAAATCTGAGAACTTTACATGTCCTATCTGATTGTATGGAGAGTTTCACACTAATATTACTAAACAGATAGATTGGTGGTACAACAAGTTACACTATCATGAAGTCAAGTCAAATTTTTAGTTCTAAGTTATATCTTACCAAGCAATGCCTACGACATTTGTTGCAGGTAATTGATTTAAGTATGTAATTCTGTTTTGTTCCTTGCTGCTGTTACCATATTTTTTTAATGCAAAAATAATGTACTTGACTATTAAATTAACGACAATTTAGTTTTAATTCATAATTTAATTAATTCATGTAGTTTCCGTTTTCTAACTACATAGATGGCGTTGGCGTCGATTTAAATCGCGCTATGGTTTCATTCCCAAAAAGTGATGTAATAGGTGCCGATGGGCTGCTTTCATCCTATAGAAACGGGGGTGATACATTGTCCGTGTTGGTTGATGTGTTTAATTTTCCTGCGAATAATAATAATTATTTTTCTACTTACTAGCAATTCTTACGTAGTTATTCGATTACTTTTCGTTGTTTTGAATATGTTAGTATCGGATTAAGAAGGAATTTTAGCTATGCCTTTTAGAAAAAGATCAAATCTGTCTCGAAACTCAAGGGTTTAGAAGATGCGCAGGTTAGTTCGATCTCTCGAAACCGATGCAGAACGCGAACAACGGCTAGGTGCTAACCGTGAGCGTAATGCACTAAGTTTCTCCGCAGAAACTAGCACGCAGCACCAATTACGACTAGAACTTAAACGAGTCCGCACTACTGCTTCTCGATCTCAGAAAAGTGTGGAACAACGAGAAATGCGTTTAGCTATCGACCGCGATCATCATTCTTTGTCTCGCACATCCGAAACGGTTAAACAGAGGGATCAGAGGTTGACTCTTTAGAATATCCGCTCTTTGCTATCGCTCGGACTTGCGCGTGACCGAAAACGTGGGCAAAGCCAAGAGTGCAGCTATAGTTTATAAAGAATTTGTTTTAAAGTGATTTGCAATATTATTGTTAATTCAGTGTACCCTTGGGATCCGGTGCATTTCGCACCAGATCGGTGAAGTATACCGGATGAAAAGTTTTTTGTTGTATAGGTGTTAAGTCTAGGCAATATATAGGCTATAATATATTTTGGAAAATGGAACACCTGATGCAGAACCGCAACAGATCAGCTAAAGTATAAGAGATATAAAAATGGTGCCATAGCAAAAAATATTCCACGTGAAGAGTATTTTCTGCTGTGAGAATAAATTTGAAGATCTGAAACACCTGTTCTGAAACTCCAAAGCCTAGCGACATTATAACATATATAGGAATGACGTCTTAGCAAAAGTTGTTTAGTCTGATGGGTATTTCCTGTTGACATACAAAAGTGAAATATCTGGAACGTCTCGAATCGTCTCGCGCGTCACGTTATTTTCCTGTCCCCGGGCTCTTAGAATTCGACATCAGACATAATGATTTCTTATATTTACGCGAACGCTACACATTGAAATAATACTAGTTTTTACGGAATTTATCGCGTATATTTAACTTGATAATTACCCGCCGTTTCGAGAGCTTTACAGCACCCATGGTCACGGGAAGGACTGAGATGTTCAACGTCCAGCTGTCATAGTTAACCGCGGTTACCATAGATTAAAATTTAACTTTTGTTCCGATCTACACAGTATGAACTTATGGTATCATGGAGTCTTGCAGTTGTATGCTTGGGTTGGGATTTAATTTTATTTATTATAGGATCCCAAGCAGATGGTAGCACCCAGCCATCTTCTCTATTGAAATTAGGATGTTTTTTGATTTCAATAGCCTCGCGAATCATCCTTGGAAGGAATCGGTGTTCTTTAGCGAGGATTTGTGGTCTATCAAATCTGATGTAGTGACGGGGGCGATCCTGTACATGTTCACAGACTGCAGACTTCCCGGAGCGTCGATTCTTCACATCAGCTATATGTTCTTTGACGCGGGTTTTAATGGATCTTTTAGTTTGTCCTATGTAGGAAAGACCACATTCACAATCAAGCTTGTACACTCCTGCATCTTGCAGAGGGACGTTACACTTGACTGATGGTAAAAACTGACCAATCTTCTTCGGCGGCTTGAAGTATGTTTTGATGGAAGCGCGCTTCAAGATGTAGCCAATCTTGTCAGTGACTCCTCTAACATATGGCAGTACAGCAGGTACACGCTCGACTGTGGCCGGCTTCACTCGTTCTCTGTGACGTAGGCGCGGGACCCGAAGCTTGTTGTCATGCAAAACTTGCTTGACATGTTGGAGCTCGGCAGCCAGGTGTTTACTGTCACAGATCCCTCGTGCTCTCTGAAACAAAGATTTACCCACGGTAGCTAACTGTGAAGGATGGTGGTGAGAATCACCGTTTAAATATCTATCTGTATGGGTCTTTTTTCTATACACAGTATGGCTCAAGGTGTTATCAGGATTCCGAATTACTAACACATCTAGAAAAGCTAAGGAATTGTTTGCCTCTAACTCCATTGTGAACTGAATTTTAGAATTTATAGAGTTAAGATGGTCTAAAAATGCAGTTACTTTATCTAAAGGTAGAATTGTGAAAGTGTCGTCTACGTACCGCTTGTAGAAACTTGAATTTATGGGAGAAGTAAGCAGGGCTTTCTCCTCAAAGTCTTCCATGAATATGTCGGCGACAATGGGAGATACAGGTGAGCCCATCGCCACACCATCTATTTGCTTGTAGAACTCCTCCTTCCACAATAGGTAGCCAGATGTAAGGCAGTGTCTGAGTAATACTGCATATTCTACGGGCATGTTGTTTTCTTCCAGCCTTCTAGTTACAATTGAGATGCAGTCTTCAACAGGTAAGCATGTAAACAATGACTGCACATCAAAACTGACCATAGTTTCATTGTCTGCCAGACGTAGGTCTTTAATCTCGCTGACAAAATGGTAGGAATCCTTTATGTGTGCTCTTGTATGTCCCCTGAGCGGTGAAAGTATTTTCGCTAAGTGTTGAGCCAATCTGTAAGTTGGTGAATCGATTTGGCTCACTATGGGGCGTAATGGAGCATTGGGCTTGTGTATTTTTGGTAACCCATACAACTTTGGTGATTTGGCGCACGTAGGTATTATCCATTTTACGTCCAGATTTAATTTTTCGGAGTGTTTCTTTATGAGGTCACTAGTTGTTTTTAGTGTGCTATTTGTTGGGTCGTTTTTAACCTTTTTATAAGTACTTACATCCGACAAAAGTTCTTGTATTTTGGAATTATAATCTGACGTATCCATAACTACCGTGGCGTTTCCCTTATTATTGGTTATTGGTGCTGTAAAGCTCTCGAAACGTCGGGTAATTATCAAGTTAAATATACGCGATAAATTCCGTAAAAACTAGTATTATTTCAATTCGACATCAGACGTTTCAGATCTTCGATTTTGACGACCCCGTTGTCGCTGGCATAAGCAACATCAGCCGCGTACGAAGTCGCGGGCAGCAGCTAGTTGATACATATATTATACTTGATAATACCTACCTACAGATTCATATGTATAAGCATGCTATAGGTACCTATGTCATTTAAATCTTGAGATTTACCTTAAAACAGTTGGTTCCATTTGAGGACGATTTGGAAAATTAATCCATTTTTTGATAATTTGAGGTTGATTTAGTGCGGCCACTGCCTCTCTAATGGCTCCTGCTGGAAGTAGGCTGGCTAACTTTGAAGTCCACATCCTTTGTTAAACTTTTTTGATAGGAGCCATGTGCGAAAAAATGTAACACGCAGAGGAACTAAGTACCAAAAGAGAATTAAAATAAACTTACACAACAACTTAGGTACGGTACTGAGTTTACTATCTAGATACCTATTTACCTTTAGTTCTACAGGAAGTGAGCTTGAATATTAATGTTGTTGCCAAACAGGCTTTAAATCGTTCACAATAGCCAAGGTCAAGTCCGGGGTGAGTCGGTAAGTCGAATGGAAATTTGGGTCCTCATACGGATTCGACAAATCGCGAAACCGTTTGTTTCGGATCATTGTTTGCATCCGTAACTTCTCATTTTCGTAGTTGCTGATTCGCCTATGAAGAATTAATGCTACTATGCCTGACATTGCTTATATCTGTAAAATTAGAGATAGAAAACTTATAAAAACACACCTTTCTTCCAAATATTCACAAAAATACAGTTTTGCAAATTAAGTGCAAATATTGATGTAATTTTATGAAAATATGTTTTTATACATAATTGCAATTAATTTATGTTACGTACCTTATACTTAGAAAAGCTTATTTATCTCTCATAATTATCAATATTTAAGTTTTCGCCAGCGTCAGAGGTCTCGTAAAGTTTCCGATGCGAACTGTCACAATTCCCGAAAACGAATGTCAAATTCATCAGAACGGCGAATGTGAATAGCATTTCATTGTTTCCGTTCGAAAAGTTATCGAATCCGAGTCGATTTCCCTTTCCGAGACGATTGTGAATAGCCCTGCAGTATGCACTTAACATGTCTCTCGGATATAATTTGAATAAATTTAAATGTTAACGACACAATGTGCCAGTGCCGACCCTTGATCAACTGAGAGACCGCATTATCAACGCGACAAACGACATAAGACTTACCCTCAAACTCACTCACACACATAAGACTTAACCTCAAACGTTATTAAAAGCGAATTAAGAAAACGAATGCGTGTCTGTATACGGAATAGGGGCTCCCATATTATTTTATTATATTATTATAAAATAAATAAAACTAATTTCAATCAAGTGCTTTGTTTCATTTCCTTAATTAATATTGGTTAAAAATAAAACACGAATTCCTTTGTCTTTTTAGAACTCGACTACCTGACCTCATTTTTTAAATTTTTTTTTCTGTTTCTATATAAGCAAACTACAAAGTTGATACTTCATTAGGTAGCTAGATAAATAGGGATGTTTTTAACATGATTTGCACAATTGATCACATACAATTATTTTTCACAAAATGATTTTTATTTTTAATTACTTATCTTTTGTTTGGAAAAAGTTGTACTTTTAGTAGCGTTACTTCGAAAATGATGAGACTTTTTGCACACTGTAGTATTGATAAATAAGTATCCAGGTTTTCATTAAGTAAAAATAATAAAATGAAAATAATACAGCTGTAAGTTTTTTTTTAGAAATTTTTGACACCAGACTTTTGGGATTTTTGAAAAAAAATAATTAAACCTAAATATCTCGAAATTGGCCCACATTTGCATAATGCATTTTATGGTTCATTTGATAGGTTATGACCCCAACTATCACGCCTTGGCGGGAATACGTCGAATTACCAGTAACCCTGTATAAATAAATTACCATTTTATATTTAAGTTATATTTAGTCATAAATTTTAGTTCAAATATGCTAATGTAGATTCATAAAAATGTAAATGTTAACCTTTAATAAATGTCATGAATAATAATGAACGACTTTAATTAATATGCAAGGGTGTTTAATTTGACAGCTAGTTAAGGAACGATGATTAACTCTAATCATTGTTCATGAATTTCAATTTTTTTAAACAATAGTCTAAAGTGTTGCTTAAAGTTAAATAACGTTTATGAATAAGGGCGTTTACGTCTTTAGTGAATGCTAAAATCACCCGTTTGCTTAACACTAAATCGAACAATGTTATGTCGGAGTCACACGGTTTTTCGGATCCCTCAAAAATAGCCTACGCTGCAGTAGTATACGTCAGAGTTATAGACGCAGAGGGTAATATTCAAGTTGAGTTAGTTACCTCGAAAACCAAAGTGTCACCCATCAAACAGGTATCAATAGGTTAAAACTATGTGAAACCGTTGTATTAGCTAAGTCGATGGTGAAAGTTGCTAAAACTGGATGTAAATATATTAGATGTGCACGTTTGGACTGATTCAGAAGTTGTTCTCGCATGATCTAATAGTCATTCAAGCCGTTGGAAAACGTTTTTAGCTAAACGCGTTACAGAAATCTTGAACACACTATTGGTCATACGCTCCATCCCGACACAATCCAGCGGATTGTGCCTCTCGCGGCGTGGCTCTAGACGAACTCGGCAATACTGCGATATGGTTCAATGGATTCGAGTTCTTAAGGCAATCAGTAATAGTGTATAAAAATCCCAAACTCTTGATTACTAAATTGGAGGAAGTGAAGGTCCATGCTTTATCTTAAGCATGCTTTTCTTTGCAATATACGTTCACATGTTATCATTTAAAATAAATAAACATGTTAATAATAAAACTTCTTAAAATTAGTATTAGTCTGTTTATTTATTTTGTTACATATTAAATGTTAAAAATTTAGTTTAATATTACATTTCAATATTAATTAAAAATAATATTAAATACTTGAATGTGCCCGATCCCAAAATATAGTATTATTATTTATTTTGTGTAATGCTTATAACTTTATGATTCAAAAACATTTATTTTTTTATGTTTGCTTTATATTAACAATATACGTTTTATATTATTATAATTAGGAATTATTATGATGTGAATATTTTCAACATTAAAACATCCCACACTTAGTTAATTTGAATTCCATAAGTATTAATAAAAGTATTAATAAATTACTCAAGTCATTGGATCTCAACAAATCGATTAGACTGGATCTTATACCGCATATTTTTATAGTTAATAGATCCAACAAACTTTCGGAACCTCTGTTCATTCTTTTTAGGCGCTCGATAGCTGAAGCAGTTGTTCCCAAAATTTGGAAGTAGGCATGCATTATACCTATTCATAAAAAAGGAAACACTACTAACATAGAAAACTATCGACCTATATCAAAACTACAACACGACCAAGCTAAGTTTGCACCTCGCTGGAATGCGGCACCCCGCCCGGTTCCCCGCTCACTTTCATATGATCGCCCTGTCGCGTCAGTACGGTTAACATCTTTGTCTCCGACACGCGTCATATGAGTTTTCGTCTCCCTATTCGTTGAATTTTAAATGTTTGAACTGTTCTTGTTAGGTTTTTGTTGCAGTTTTGTTGTTATCCCTGTTTTGTTATATTACTGGACTGTTGTTAAGTTTTTAATGAACCTGTTACTGAACGGTTAACGTTAACTTTTTTACCCCGAGTGGATTGTTGTGGTCAACAAAAATGAAAGGAAAGGTGATACACAGTGAAGGGAGAAACATACACCTGAAAGTACTGAAGTTTTTCGAAGAAGAAAGAACTAATAAAAGGATGACCTATCAAGTTGATAGTTATTCGGCGAACTTGTGCCGCAACCGGCATATCTAAGAGGACGCTAATGAATGTAAAACGTGCAAGAACGCCCGGGTGGTCATAATACAAAAACCCGATATCGCTGCCTGGAGAGCTCGCTACCTGCGGCGAAAGAAAGAAAACTATGACCTTGGCGCTGACGAAAAACCGGTTATGTACCTCGACGAAACCTGGATTCATTCTCATTACACAGTGAGTAAGTGCTGGCAAAATAGCACCGACAGCAGCGATAAAGAATATATATCCAGGTCAACGGTGGGTTATGCACGCTGATGGATAGAATGATTTATACCGGGCGCAGATCTTCTATACAGTGTGTCCGGTCACGGACTAGCGATATTTTAGATACTTATAATACAGCTAATTTAATATAAAAATACATTACACACTGAGGTCTAATCCCCTCCCCCTCTATTTGGCAGCCATTTTGTTTTTTTCTTGATATATTCTCTACGCGTTTACGAAAAAAGTCATATCTCTCAAAGTTTTAGTCTTACTGAGATAAAAATTAACTCATTCAACAAAAATTTTGATAATGTAAACGATAAACAATATTATTGGCCTCCGAATGAGATAATTTTTATCTCAGTAAGACTAAAACTTACAGAGATATAACTTTTTTCGTAAACGCGTAGAGAATATCTCAAGAAAAAAACAAAATGGTTGCCAAATAGAGGGGAAGGAGATTAGACCTCAGTGTGTAGTATATTTTTATATTAAAATAGCTGTATTATAAGTACCTAAAATATCGCTAGTCCGTGACAGGATACACTGTATAAATGCAAAAGTACCACAGGAGACTGTCACCATGAGATGAACACAAAAAAATTTACAAAGTGGCTTCAAGTAAAATTGATACCAAATATGCCATCAAATGGGATTGTAGTCATAGAAAACGCACCCTACCATTCGACCCAAATCGAAAAGGCGCCAACAAGTTCATCTCTAAAGAGCGAAATGCAAGAATGGCTACGCGCGTCGACTGCTGGGTGCCAGCTAGCAGTCGCCTAAGTTCAGGGCGGTATTGGGTAGGAGCGGTGTTGGAGCAGAGTCGAGTAAGTGGGCTAAGACCTTAAGACGTGGGATTTTAAGAAAATATGACCAAGAGGGAATTGTATCAAATTATACTAAGAATCAAACCACCGAAAAAATATGTTTTCGACGAACTTATGAAAGCATACGGCCACGAAATTCCGCGTCTGCCACCCTATCATTCCGATCTAAATCTAATCGAATATATGTGGAATTTAGTGAAACAGAGGGTGGCAGACAAAAACGTAAACCAGTCGGAAAAATAAATTGAAAGCCATACACGGGACGCTATATATAGAGGCAGCGCCTTGGGATCTGCTGTCCAAGATCAGCGG